TGAGAAATCACGAATTTCTCTTGTCGTTCTCTGCCTTGTAAGCGGCAGCTGTGGACGTAGCTTTGGCTTCAAAGGGGATCATCTTGAGTCTCTCGATGTGGTGTCCGAACTCTTCACCTGCCTTCTGCTCGAGTTCTTCGACGAACTGTCTTTTGGCTCCTTCTGAAAATAATAGTTAATCTCTTTTCCCTCTCATTTCTCTCTTTTTCTCTTTTTCTCGTTAAAACACGTAGAATGATTTCGAAATTCGAGTTTCAGGAGACGTTGGTGTTGGCAGAGCACGGTCGATCATGCAGACGGTTGGAGAGAGTCAGAGGAAGAAGAGTGAGCCGGCAACAGTGAAGAAGAAGAAAACTCCAGGTGAGGAGAGAGAAATTGAGTTTTGGAGAGAGCGAGGTACAGAATTATTGAAGAGAAGCATAGTGGAAATTGAGCCAGAATTTGATTTATTTTTGTACACTGATGCTTCGGCGCGAGGAATAGGAGCGGTGCTTAAGAATGATATAGATGATGTTTTGTGGAAAATGTCGGAATTAGGCGATAGCGACTTTGAAGGACAGTCTAGCGCTTGGAGAGAAGTGACGGCAGTGAAGAGAGCAACTTCAACTACGAGCCAGGCAGTGATGCGGACATCTTGATGTGCCGATGGAGACTCCGGACCAAAGGAAAGTGTCCATACGTTTTTTCGCATCTGGACGGCTCGAAGAAGCTCTCGAAACAAGCCATTTCGACGCTCTCGACGAAGATGCTGGCAGCGATCGGGAAGCCGGGAGCGACTCATCACTGCTTCAGAAGAGGAGGAGCCAACAACATGAGGAGAATCGGGCATTCAATGGAGGAAATTCAATGCAGAGGAAGATGGAGATCGGCGGCAGGACTTCAGCGGTATCTCACTGATGTTCCAATAGCTCAAGGATGTCTACAGTCTCAGGCAGAATCAGATGACGAAGAGAAATAATCTTGTAATATTTATAGCTCTTCTAGTTGTTTTGTTTGTGTTACTAACTTCTCATATC